CTGCTCGCCTCGGCCCTCGGCCTGAGCAGCTGCGTGCCCTGGGGCGCCGGGCGCCTGAGGCGCGGACACGGCCCTGAGCCAGACTCGCCTTTCCGCCGCAGCCCGCCCCGCGGCCCCGCCTCCCCCCAGCGCTGACCCCCGCACTGGGACCCCTCCGGCGCCCCAGCCATCGCGAGATAACGATCGGAAGGATTGTGGACTGCTTGTTGGATGGACGGCGTTACCGAAGCGGATGGACAGACGGACAGCAGGAAGAGACGGTCTGGGGGGCCAGGGACCCAGTAACGGAGGCTGAGGTGCAGTATTAGCGGCTAGTGCATCTGAGGGGCGGGCTGGATGGTGCAGGGCCCCTGATTTCCCTTCCCTGAGGTTTATGGAGTCTGCTGGGTCCCTGATAAAAGCTGTTCACTTTCTGTTGCCGCCTCTCCCAGACCACCTGGGGGAGTGAGGTGGTAGCACCAAGTCCTCACTATGGAGTTGGACAAATTGAGGGTGTTCAGATCCTAGAAGGAGTTTGGCAGCAAACTTTTACCAGTTTGGCTTGCTGCACTGATACAGCACTCCCTACCCTCATCTCCAACCGCGTTGCCTTTTCTAGGTCCTGCGGGACTATAACAAGTGTCTTGCCCTTGAGGTTGCTGCTCTCTGACAGTGCCCAGCTCCCTGTCTTTAGGAGGGCAGAATAATGAGATCGCAGGATGAAGTGGGTCCTGGCACAGGAGACGGAATCCTCCTCCCCTAAGCCCGTTTCCCATCTGGAGAGATGGAATCCCAGAGAGGTTGAGGATTTGTTCCCATTATACTATTGGTGCTTAGTAGGTCCTTCCATCTCTAGGAGACAGGTCTTTTCTCATGCCCTCATGCAGCCTTGATAAGACTACAGCCCTCAGAAAACCGGAGCTCAGTGTTTGGCACCTCAGTTGCTCTCCTAGCGGCCCTGATATGACAGGAGCTAGAGAACCCCTGCCTCCAACCTAGTGTCTAAGATGGCTCTGCCAGGGATGGAGCCAGGTGATATCCTTTAACAGTCTCTAGGGGATAGGTATGGCATCAGCTGCCAGGAAGGGGGGCCTTAAAGGGCTAGACCTGAAATTAAATCTGCTCCTCTTCCTATCCCAATGCCTCTCAGTTACCTTATCCCCTGTCCCCACTCAGCTGTCTTGCTGCTGCTCACTGGCAAGTCAACTGCAAATTCACTCGTCCGTCTGGGAAGTGGGTGTCATCACCCACTTAAGGGCTGTGGTGAGGTTAATATGGAGCAGAGATCTGTCTTCTTCCCCCATAAGTCATGCAAGAATATTTTATTCTTTTAGATTTCATGTTTAGCTCTAGAAACATGCTCTGCTTTTGCTTATAGAGCCAGGAGCTAATTTAAAGGAGTCCTCTTTATAGAAAGGAAAGGTGATTTCTCAAGGTCACATGCAGAACCAGTCCAGGCCTGTGTATCCCCTTCCTGTAATGTCTCTTACCTACCCAGGGAGTAGGGGCTGAAGAGAGCTGTTCCCTGTCAGCTCTGTGACCTAGAACAACACAACCTCCTCTCTGGGCCAGTTTCCTCTCTGACCATAACCTTCCCTCTCCCGTGTCAGGGTTTGGTAATGAGGAGGATAACATCAGAATCATGGGACTCTGGTCTAATCCTGCTCAGGTCAGGTGCACTACTCTGTCAGGCTGAGCCCCAGGGACCCCCACCTGACCCTCTCCATTCCTCTCCCTGGGTACCAAATTTGGGCTGGTTTCTTGGCTAACAGGCCTTCCTGAACCCATTCTTAGCTGGGGAAGAGAGACCCAGGAGGTGGTCTCAGAGCCCGAAGACAGAGCTTGGGGACCAGAAGAGTAGTGGGGGGCATTGGCATCCTCTAGCCTCCCCGGAGAGGAAGAACCTTCCAAAGCCACTTGGGTCATTTGAGATCTTGAGGCCTAGGGAAGACAGGGACTTGCTGGAGGTAACACAGTGAGGGAGCTGCAGCCAGAGCTGTTTGTTGTCTGGGTGGTGGTGGGGGGAAGGACACTTGGGCCAGAGAAGCTTTCAGCTAATGGTGTAAAGTGCTCTTTGCCACCACAATTTTGCCTTTGTCCAGGATTTATTGATAATAAGCTTTGGCCCGATTTGGAGGGGGAAGGGATAGGGAATTAGAGATGGTTCTTGCTGGAGAACATGGTGTATTTGTGGAGGTAATGGAGATTGATCTTGGTGTCACAGGTGGCTTCTGTCCCCTCCCTCCATTTCTGGCTGTCCCACTGTCCCTCATCTAGGGCTTTGGCCAAGTCACATAGCACTCATTGACTTGAACTCTGGCTCCTGGTTCAGTGGTCTACTACCTCTCACCCATGTAACAAAAGTTACCTTCCCACACCTGCCTGGGCCACCTAGGAGCTCCCCAGCCTGACTCCACTTTCTTTTCAATTGACAGACGTTGATATCCACTCAGTGCCAATGATGTCTACTCAAGAAGCAGAACTGAACAGAGTCGAACCAGATTACGTCTCCTAGCCCTCTGCCAGGCAGCATTTTTCCCTGGTTGTCCCCATCCTAGAGGACTCTCTGGGGACTGGACAGTTTTTGTTGTTGGAGGGCTACAGACCTGCCCCAGGGCAGGAGGTTGGCTCTACCCTACCCCATGTCTTCATGAACACTCTATTGATGGTCCCAGCCCTGAGTGCAGGGAATCTTGGGGGAGTGAGGACATTAGTGGCCACCAGTGAATCTGGGACCTCAGCAAAGGGAAATGAGAGGAACAGGAACCTTTCTTCAGGTTAGTTCCTGGAGCTGGAAGACCAGTTCAGGGTTCCTTTGGGCCTTGCTCTTCACCTGGGTAAGCCCCTCATTCTGGACACATCCAGTCTGGACTGGGCCGGAGGGGTAAGAGGATGTCTCCAGGCAACCCACTAGAGGGCAGTGTGGGGCTGCTTCCCAGGACATAGGGAGTGGCTTGGCGTTGGCCAGGTTCCCAGTGTCTCAGCCCCCCAACCATCCCCTTCTCGGCTGTGCCAAGGCATCCTGGGACTAGGGCCTTTAAGAGTCAGTCAGGTGGAGCCAGCAAGTAGTGGTGGTTATGCAGTACGAAGGTGATATAGTTCTGGTGATGGCTTCCTGAGCAGGGCAGGTTTGGAGGTTGGAGCCGCACTCATCACCAGCTCCCTGGGGACTGAAACTCACCTGAAGAAGGGGTGTGAAGGAGACCTGCTCGCTGGGTGGGGCCCCTGTCCTCAGGGAGAGGAGTTATCAGAAAAGTCTTCCTGTAAAGGGGTCCCTGGTGGAAATCATTGTCTGAGTGAAAGCTCGGAGTCAGTTTACTCGAAGCAGACTTGTTACACAGATAATTGATTAGAACACCCTGCCCGGCTGCCACTTGAGGACCAAGGTAGCCTCCTAGAGAATAGGCTGAAATGATAGGATGGGGCCAAGACACTCCAGCCTTTCAGTGGTCAGATTCTAGGATGGTCCCTTTACTGATAGCTAGGTCTCTCAAGAAGAACCTAGTTGCCGGGCTTCCCAGCATTGAGGGAGAGACTCCTTACTTTATAGCTAACAGGGGAGGGAGGGAACATTTGGAAAAGCTTGGAGATGCCCAGCCACCTCTTCCTCCTTAGTCCTTGGCTGCACCCTGCAAGGGAGCTCTTACTTCTGTAATAATAGGCTAATTACCTCCTCTATGCCAGGCTCTGTGCTAAGCACAGTGCATCCATTATCTGTTTCAATCCTCATACCACTCTGCAAAGTAGGGGTTATTATCCCCATTTCCACAGTGAGGAAACAGGGTTAGGGAGGGCAGGAGACTTGTCTAAGAACATAGAGCCTGTTAGTTGGGATCCCTTAAACATTAGGCTATGTGGTGTTTCATTCATTAGGCTGATGAGGGCTCTATTTGGATGGGAGGTTTTGGGGCTGTCACCTTTAACACTAGGTACAGGGACCCCGGTCTTGGTTCTGGGAAGGGATGTAATGAGGGATGGCAGAAGGTGCACAGTCCTGGCAAGGTCTGGGCACCCTCCCAGCCTGGTTGGGCCCTGGGGGGTGAGTCAGGCTGAGTCAGTACACCTGGCTTCTGACGGGTGGGCCCAGGATGATCAAGGCTGGGGCCAGGGCCTGGGCTTGCCTTGGAGAGTTGCCTCCTCTCTGCAGACCCAGGCTGGAATGTTTGGTGCAGAGAGCAAAGAGCCTGGCCCTGGGCTCACTCTCTGGATGGAAGAGGAGGAGGGTGGCAGGCTCCATGGTGGGGCAGAAAGTAGCCAGACTTGGATAGACCTGGGATTCAGTCCTGGCCTGGAACTTCTCAGCTGGGTTACCTTAGGCAAATCACTTCTCTGAGTTATTTCTTCTTCCTTTTCTTTGCTTTCTTGTGGGGTGGGAGTGGGGGGAGCAGCTAGAGAGGAGATAACTTCAGAGTATTAAATGAGAGGTCACAGTAAGTGTCTAGCACATAGTAGGAATCTGTAAATGTTTAATGGAACAAAGCTGCCCAGTCCAGGAGAGGTGGCTGTGACAGAGCCCCTAGGCAGTGTGGGCCTTGCTTCTCCAGAGTATCACCATATCAGGAATCCCTGGAACAGTCCTCCCAGCCCCCCCTACTCCAGTCCTAGGGAACTCCATAAGGGGAGAGGTGGAGGAAGGGGCAGGCCTTTCATCCCAGGAACATTCCATTCTAGCAGCTCAGACTAGTGGGGATGCCGGCCAAGGACAAAGGCCCCAGGGAACCTGTGCTTCCTTCAGGGGCCCACCCTTCCCAGGGTGGAAGCCAATGGAGCCCCAGTTCATATTGCCCCCTGCACCTTCTCTCCACAATGGCCCCTCTTAAGGAGGTGGATGTAGAAGGGCTTGGGCGGGGCTGGGTGGCTGTGGGAAAGAAGTAATTAAAGCTCTTGAAATTATTCTTCCCAGCTCCTCCCAGCCTCTACTGTATGGATCTGGACTCCTGGATTCGGCTCTTTCCCCGGGCACCTCCTTCAGGAAGACTTCTCACATTGACCCTCCACAACCTCAGCGCCCCCTCATTTCACTGGAGCCCTTCACTTTACAAGGGCTCCATTCTGGGGAAGTTGCTGATACTGAGAGTTTCTTTATATACCCACTTTTGACTTCTGCTTACTCTGTACAATTGGAGATGTTACAACAGGTCCCCGAGATGTAATCA